CTGGCTTATTTATTTATTTATTTGGAGACTTTGAGTCTTGCTCTGTCACCCAGGCTAGAGTACAGTGGTGTGATCTGGGCTCACCGCAACCTCCGTCTCCTGGGTTCAAGCTATTCTCCTGTCTCAGCCTCCTGAGTAGCTGGGATTACAGGCATGTGCTACCACCATGTCCGGCTAATTTTGTATTTTTAGTAGAGATGGGGTTTCACCATCATGTTGGTCAGGCTGCTCTCGAACTCTTGACCTTGTGATCCACCTGCCTTGACCTCCCAAAGTGCTGGGATTACAGGCATGAGCCACTGCGCCCGGCCAGTCTTGCCCTCTCAAAGAGCAGGGATAGTCCAGACTCCCTGGGGACGCTTTAGCAGGGTAGAAAAGTTCGGCCCAGCAGGAAGCCAGGACGCCAGGCCAACATGAGGCGGAGGGGGGGAAAGGGTGACGAGGAAGCAGATCCCATTCCTTCCCTCAAACGCACACACATGTTCACGGTCAGCCTCCTCTCCAACTCTTTATTATCTCAAGTAAGAAAAATAAAAAAATAAATAAGATAAATAACCTAATAAATAAAGAGGAGATGCAATAGTAAACAGCCTGTGACCTCAGGAAGCATAGCTGGGGCTTTGGCCTTGGGAAGGCCCCACCATGCTCAGAGGGTCTGAGGAGCCCACATCGGGGGGCTCGGGGGCCAGGATTCCAGGCGGCTCTGGGTGTTCAGGGGGCAGGCCTGGTAGCGGCAGGAAGCGAGCTGGTCCTCGGGGTGCAGGGTCCCGGGGTGGGGACCTGCTCCCCGGCAGGTGCAGCGGAAGGCTGTGGGCCAGGGACTGGTACACGTTGTATCCATCCTCAAGAACCAGCTCCCGGAAGCTGCAGGCCTCGGGGTCAAAGTGGAGCTAGCGGACAAAGAACAGGATCAGAGACAGCATTCCTCCATGTTTTCCTGTTGCAGGACCCAGGATCCAGGCCCTCAGCCCCTCCTCCTTCAGACCCAGCAATCCAGGTCCCAGTGCCTCCTCCCTCAGACCCAGGAGTCCAGGCCCAGCCCCTCCTCCCTCAGACCCAGGAATCCAGGTCCCA